CCGAGTGCCTCCCGCCCCACCCCCCACCCCCCCTCTGACCCAGAGGTGGCAGGACCCTTTGATGGAGAGGACATCCTTGTCCCCAGCTGTAGCATAGCCCACACAGTGCAGAGAAACACCTGCTTCTGCAGCTGCTGCAGCCATTCCCACCTGCCACAAATCAAAAGTGCTGAGTCTGAGCAGTGACGCAAGAGGAAAAAAAAAGAAAAGGCATAAAATAATTCTGAGAGGCTTCTGCCTCTGCCTGTGATTCAGCCACAATGAGCAGGCGGCACACACAGCCCCACACCCATGCACAGCTTCTGCTGGACCTCGCTTCCTTTTGCACCAAGGAACAAGCCTCCCCAGGAAGGGACACATTACAGACACCGGGAAACCCATCAGATCCTCCCAGCCAAGCCTCTGCTGGATCCGCTACCCTGCCTCACCCCTGAGGATCAAAGCGTTCCTCTAATTGAAAGCTCTCAAATTAAGCTGAAGAATTCCCACTAAGGAAGAAGCACAGAAGCTGCCTGCCATGCGCAAACACCTTCCTGGCTGCAGTTTGCTCAGTCAGGACATTAGACATCACCCGGAGACAGCATATGACAAGTCATGCAGGGCTTGTAATAGGATTTTTAAAACAACACCTTGGTGGAGGATTCACCATCCTGCTCGGAGCCACAGTCCAGCTCAGTGGAGCCCTGCAAGCGACTGGGGGTAGTCTGCAATCCCACCCACAGCCCCCCCGAAGCAAACATCATCACAAAACTGCCATGGAAATCGGAACCATCGGGAGTTAAAACATGAAGTGAGACATGGACAGGAGGGACTGCTCTGTGGCCATCCTTCAGCTTTGCATATTACACTGTAGAAAGTGATGCCTGGATCTGTCACTGGCAGCTGGTGTCTCCCAGCTCCATTTGCATCACCATCTCCCCAGCCCACACTGGAGCACAACACAGAGAGGCTACGTTCCCCTCCCAGTGCCCGACCCTGCAAGTGCTCCCCTCGGGTCCCATTTTGCAAGGGGAAGGAAATATCTTTAGCAGCAAACTTTCTGCCAAGGATTTGCAAGTGGTTGCAAGATGACTTCAGCCTCCACTAGTTACTCACGCAAGGCGTACCCAAAACTGTATTGGAAAGACATGTTCACTAACCTGAGCTAACTGACTCACTTGATCCTTCTCACCACAGTGCAATTGTCATCAACACCCAGGACGGCTCATTTGACTCCAAAGAAGACCTGTTCAGCTATAGCTAACCACTCTTCAGAGGTACGGCGCAACAGGATATTCCCTCCAACCCCAATCTGCTACCATATGCATATGGCACAAATGAACCATGGCTCTGCCCAGCTCTGGAATATGCCAAAGAAGGAGCTACATTACCTCAGCAGGTGTGGGGAGCCGGCAGGTGGTACCCACAATCTGGTGGTACAGCCCTGGTTCACCATTCCTCATGGTGCTCTGGCGGCTCCCCAGGGGGCTGGAAGTGAAAGGCTTTTTACAGAGGAGCTCACTCTGGCGAGAGTCTGTGGTGAGATAGACCTGCTGGTAGAAGTTGGGTGGCGTGAAGCCACCCCGCACAGCATCAATGTGGTGGAAGGGCCCTGGTGTCCTGTACAAGGTGCTCCTGGAGCTGTTAAACAGCTCCTTTGACTGCCTCCACTTGTAGCACTTGAAGATGCCCACTGACAACATGGTGATGAAGAAAGCTGCTGACACCAAAATCACAGCCAGGATGAGATAGAAGGTCACATGCTTCCTGGGATCGTTGGCAGGTGCCACATCAGCGAGGTCAGTGAGCACCTCCTTGACCATCTCAGCCACAGAGATAGAGACAGTGGCACTGGCGGACAGCACGGGTTTTTTTTGACTAGGATGTGCTGGAGAGCATCATCCTCCCGGAGCTGGCGGGCCGTGAAGATCTCCCCACTGTGCAGCCCAACTGAGAAGAGGCTGGGGTCAGTGGCCTGCAACAGGGTATAGGAGATCCAGGCATTGTACCCTTCATCCGCATCCACTGCCACCACTTTGGTGACCATGTGCCCAGCAGGAGTGCCTGGTGCCACCATATCGGTATAGGTGGCAGTTGTGTTGGGGTGAGGGTACAGCACAGTTGGGGCATTGTCATTGAGGTCAGTGACAAACACACTGACTGAGACATTGGTGGCCAGAGGTGGAGAGCCACCATCCTGGACCTGCACCATCATGCTGAACTCCACCTGGTCCTCGTGGTCCAGGGAGGTGAGCAGATAGAGCGTGCCATTTTCCCGGTTGATGGAGAAAAGGTGTCCTACAGTGGGGTCACCCTGCAAGAGGCTATAAGAGAGATGGGCGTTGCGCCCAAGGTCCGGATCTGTGGCGCTTACGTTAAGAATGGGAATGCCAGGCATGTTGTTCTCCAGCACATAGACATCATAGGAGTCCTGGGAAGCCTTGGGTGTGTTGTCGTTGACATCTGACACCTGCACCAGGATCTGTTTTACTGCAGACAAGGGTGGTGAGCCTGAGTCTCTGGCTGTGATAGTGATGTTATACTCCGATGCCTTTTCCCGGTCCAGAACTGTTTTTGTTTTCAACGTGTAGTAATTTTTGAGGGAGGAGCTGAGCATGAACGGTATCCCAGGGGAAATGAAGCAGTTCACCAGACCGTTGTCATGGGAGTCCAAGTCCATTACACTCAGCAGAGCTACAACCGTCCCTGGGGCTGCATCCTCAGGCACAGGGCTGTACACAGAAGTCACTGTCACCTCAGGAGCATTGTCATTCACATCCACGATTTCCACCAGCACTTTGCAATGAGCCACGCCAGGAACGGCACCCTTGTCTTTACCCTGTAAGTAAATCTCATACAGCTTCATCTCCTCATAGTCCAGCTGTCCATTGACCCTCAACTCCCCTGTGGCTGAGTCCAGAGCAAAGAGTTCTCGTACCTTGGCTGGTGTGTGGCTGCTGAAGGAATAGACAATGTCCCCATTGGGGCCATCATCCAGATCGTATGCATGGATCTTGGTGACCAGCGTACCGCTGGGCATGTTTTCCCTCACGCTTGCTTTGTAGGTGGACTGGTTGAAGACCGGGGCGTTATCATTGGCATCCACAACGTCAATATGGATCTGCACGTGGGCTGAACGTGGTGGGCTGCCTCCATCCAGCGCGGTCAAGACCAAGTGTAGCTCCCTTTGCTCCTCCCTGTCCAGCTCCTTCTCCAGCACCAGTTCCGCATACTTGCTGCCATCTACCCTCGTCTGCACGTCGAGAGCGAAGTGCGGGTTGGCACTGAGCTGGTAGGTCTGTAAAGAGTTAATCCCCACATCGGGGTCTTGCGCGCTCTCTAGCGGGAAGCGCGCTCCGGCCGCCACAGACTCGCTGATTTCCAGCCTCGCTTGGCTGCTGGGAAAAACCGGGTCGTTATCATTGATGTCCAGGATCTCCACGGCGCCGCTGTACAGCTCCAGCGGGTTTTCCACCACGATCTCAAAGCTGAGGGAGCAGGGAGAGAGCGCTCCGCAGAGCTCCTCCCGGTCTATCCGCTCGCTCACCAGCAGCGCGCCGCTCGTCAGATCCACCCCGAAGTACCTCTTGCTGC